GGATACACGAGAGCTAGCTGGATAAATGCATAAATATAAATGTGGACTGAACATCAGCGGTTATAAGCGCCAATCAAGTGAATATAAACAAGCTTTCTCAAAGAGAAATTTTCCAGGAAATGTCCACCATGCTCAACTTCTTGCTGCCCTTCCTAATTGGAGGTAAATTCTGAACTAGCACAGAAAATGTCTTTCATGAAAATGGAAAATAAGCCAGTCAAAGTTGTTCCTTCCCTCCACCATCCCAAAGATTGTATTATTATCTGCAGTAGTTCTATGAGTACAACGCTCAATTTAGGAACCGAAGGTGACGAAGGAGGAGAGCACTGGGGTTATCGAGAAGGGAATGGTCCTGAGAATTGGCATAAAACATGCCAGGATGGACATAGACAAGTAAGTGCTGAAATACCCAATTCGGTATAAACTCGGGTCGATATCACGTAAAAACACCTCCACTGGTGCAGGGCACTTGCGTACGTCTAGAGACAACCGTAACTTGTCCATAGGGAATAATTCCGTGTTTGTTATTTTAAGTTCGTTGTAGCTGCACGCATGAAATAAAATAAGAAAATAAAACTGATCTTCCATGCAAACCAAGGCATAATAAATAACACGAACGTTACAAAAGAAAACACCTGTAAAACAATTAAGAAATTAAACGTAAGACTACTGAAAGATAACTACAGTGAATAGCAAACTACGATCACTAGAGAAAGTTCACAAAAGATTAAACTCCCTCATATATATTAACAAAAACACAAAATACAATTTAGAAAAAGATGAGGGGGAAACCCTGGCTACTATTCATTATTATAAAGAATAGTAGGTATCACCTCAACTCAAGCGAAAGGAGAATAATTGGGTCCATGCGTGGTCCGCCTTATGCTGAGAACGTTATATGAGCACAAAACAACAAGCGGACCTTCTTGAAGGCCGATGTAGCGACAGACGAAGGCGACTGGTCAGAATGTTTGCATCATGCTAGACTGACTATGAATTTCGCGGGCGATTTGAATCCGTGCTCTTTCACAGTCGACACTCAGTTAGGAAAGTGCTGCGCGGTATCCTCCCGCGCATGGCCTTAGAGCATCTTTGCTCGAGGTAAGTTATGACAGATGCCATGCCGTCCCCATGGTCCGCAAAGCGTGATATTCTATGCTGTACGCCGTTGACGAATGTTTCAAAGACAATCTTTCCTCCTTGGATACACTTCGTTTCAATGCGGCTCGACTAGGAAATGCACTAAATGCATTCATGAGCCATCAATTTAAAGAACTCACCAGGGATTTGTCATTTTTGCGCAACGGCTAGCTGAAACTGATGTAACTGATAATCCTATTGTGACAAGTTCTGGTAAATGCGTAACAGGAAGGCAGAAAAATTCCGCGATCACTAACTTGTAATGCTCGTCATAGAAAGTAAACATGTGAGTAAGGCCCTATACAAATGTTCTTTCTTTCTTAATGTTTGTTCTGTTCGTTCTAAATGACGACTGTATGAAAAGGACAGAGTCAGGCGGCCTTAATCGAGTAGAAAGGACGAACAGAGAACGTGGCGACGAGCGAGACGCAGAAGTAACCAATTTGAAACTGCAAGCAAGAATAGGTACATAGTGAGCACGAGTGCTAGTCGTGCGCTATTAGTGCCTTTGCCACTAGCTTCAAAGTCTCGACAGTAGCACAAGTATGCGCCTTCTGCACACTAAAATTTTAGAAACACTAAAATTTTATTTTTTGTTGGCTATGGAATTATGCATTGGTATGGGCATATGTGCCGAACTTTGGCGAAGATGCTCTGAGCATCAGGCTTGGGTGCCCGAGTAGGCAAACTAGGCCTTCCATTCCTCCAAGGTCGGCCAGGAGATGCTGTATTCGTCTGGGTAGACAAAAATGACATTTTTTTTACATCGGATAGTCCGCCCGCTATTGTTTAGGGGAATCGCATTCAAAATACCACCACACCTGTAGTGGCAACAGAATGCATGACGTGTACCCCTTTTCTTGCTCACCATTGCCTGAATCATGCGGTACGTGAGAGAATGTTAATGTTCCTTTCTCCGAAAAGCGCAATCACTTGATGCCCAACCTTCTTTTTATATGATGCCACATCCCCTCACGTTTTGCTGTCCAATTCTACTGTAGGCCAATCTTATGAACCTTCTGCATAGAGATCAAGGACTTTTTGCTCGCACTCTGAAGCCATGCAAGTATCATTTAGATTTTGTTTGCATAAGCGCTAGAGCGCTATTCGTTATGCGCCGCTAGGAATTTGGTGACAGTTCAGAAAATTGCATATTATGGGGATATTGCACATCATTTGTCCTGAAACTCCATCTTCCACATGAAAAGCATCAAAAATAGTCGAGTGAGCCGAATATTTTCATACAATAAAAAAATTATAAGCTCAGCACAACATATGTACAACAGGAAAAAATGAAAAACAATTATATACAACAAACTAAAACAAGGTATATACAACGTGATGATTAGTAACACGGGGTGCCCAGGAATACTGCGGAAGAATTTAGATCGTGTAATTTTTCTTAAGTTAGACTTAATTTTATGTCCACCAGTATCACCTGTCGCACCTTCTCTTGAGTTCCTCGAACAGTCGCCGCGTAACGTGTCCGGTCCCCAGAATTTCGATTCTTGACGGCAGAGGCCTCCGATCTTCGACAGGTTTTCTGCAACAGGGAATCCGAAGTTCGGAAATTCACCACTGCACTTGCGTTTTCTGTGCAATTATGCAAACGGACGGTTAATTCTCATATAGGAAATGAGTCAGAAGAGAGTCAACACTTCACCTCTGTTCCAGAGTCCGATCGATATTCGTGCATCCGACGTTGACTACGCACTCCTTCATCAGATGCAATTCGTACATTACGACCATTCTGGTACCGTGAACGTGATCAACAACGGTCATACAGGTAATGAGATTTATCTGACCACTTGAGGCCTTTCCTTGTGGCTTCGCTAATTGCGCTACTGTTGGCTTAGCTCTCCATCTCTATTCCAAAAGGCAAGAGTCAACGAAATCTGGCCTGGAAGCGCACTTGCACGGCGCTGGGCCCTCCTGTGCGAAGTAAGCTAATCAGCCCTTCTAGGGTTCCTGCTGGGGCCATATGCTGAATGTTGGGGAGGGGATGGGGTCGCCGACGGTCGATGTTCGCGCCATGGATACTCTGCATGTCTGCATCCCCTGGGGAGCCCCGCGGCCATAGCATACGACCGCTATGCTCCCCCAACAGGGGGCCCCTCCCTTGTTGGGGGAGCATAGCATACGGCGCCCAGGACTAAGCCTTGGAGAGGACGGAGCTGCGCTCTCTCGCCCCTCTTCAAGGCTTAGTCCTGGGGTAAGCAAACCAGCCCTTTGGCGGAGCTGCTGGACCAGCTGCACCACTTGCGTCATTACTCTCCTACCGTACCGACCGAGTTGAAGTAGTCCGTCGACCGTCGGGGACCCCATCCCCTCCCCAACATTCAGCATACGGCCCAGCAGAAACGCCAAGGGCTGGTTTGCTGTACCGCTGTCAAGCAGGAAGTAAACCTAGTTGTGCACTATGTAAAGGCAATTTTTTGAAGGGTAACGTTTGTTCATGTAATGGTTCTGCTTTAATAATTTTACATATGCTGAGTCATAACCGAACACTTTCTGTTCTTCTACTGACGTTTGATTGTATGCACTGAATTCTATTTTTATTAGAATAGCTTCATAAAATCGTCAAGATGCAAATAAAGCAGGGTAATTTAAAGACTGCCACTCTCATAGGATATTTCTTTGTGCTTCTGCTAGATTCATGGCATCCTCACTGTCATTTCTTTTGGATGCATAATATTGGTATAATTTATTTTCTCAAGGCATTTCGTTCAATTTCAGAATCTTGTTTTCAGTTCTTGTTGATGGTTTAATGATGGGGCTTCTGAGCATTCATACAAGGTGGGTATAACATTTCGTTACTTCTGACGTTCCATTTCCACTGGGCTCAATACGATCACCAAGGATCGGAGCACAAAATTGGAGGATTGCACTATCCTGCAGAGGTATGTACTTGGACCTGGATACACAGTATACGTCAGAGTAATAGTTTAGCTTGCACCAATAATGAGTGGATCGACTCGATTGAAATGGTGGAGAAAATTGCTTTACCCCCCCCCCTGTATATGCGATTTTAAACCACTTGCCAACTCCGAAGAGACAGAAAGTGCTGTTGACCTACGCGCAAGCGCCGATCCGGGGTTCGATCCCTAGACCATGTATGGAAAGCGGCGCTATTTTCACATTTCACAATTATTTTTCCAAATTGTTTTATTTTTTCTAATATGTCGCAGCCTGCTACATATACATTGGAATCGTTTACCTCACATGTGACTCTTTTCAGATTCATCCTAATTTCAGCTTCATCTGGTACACGTTCGTCAGGGTATCGAGCTGCAGGAAGCGCTCAAGAGACCAGACGGCATAGCTGTTGTCGGAGTTTTTCTCGTTATCGGGCACGATGATGCCCCATTGTCTCTCTATTCTGTATTTGAAAGTGTCACGCATTACGGTAAGAAAATGATCAGTTCTTGGTAAGTCAGAGTTTTCGTCATTGTTTTACTGACGACATCAAGCTACTTGCTATAGAAATTCATAGCTGAATTGGGGTATTTTATGAATTTAGTACGCGATCTCACTGCTATCTTTTTGTTGGTGCGCAGTGTTGAGGAACTCGTGCAGTCAGCTTATTATTCAAACATCAAATGAACTCAGACGGAGCGGGAACTTTTATACAAGATCTCGAGGGGCGGTACCAACGATTGGCGGGAACATCGCTGTGATTGGCTGTCCTCCATCCAAGCGATGACGTCGCCCCTGACGAGCGGGTCCCGGCTATGGACCGACAAGGGGGCTGTAGCGGTTGAAAGAGAATTACAACTATAAGCAAAAAATAATTGACAACAAGTCAAGTAGCATAGAAATCAATTCTTACATATTTTTGGGTCAATTATAATTGGCATTTGCTGAATGCAATACCTGTTATGAGTACTGATCCTCTGATATGTTGGCCACTCCATTTCAGCCGATTCCATTTTGTGTTGAAGAAAAGGAGATTGTCTCGCACATACAAGCTGCAAAGCTACGATAAGATTCTTGTCATTCTGTCTATTCGATAAAGATTGTAAAAGATGAGGAGCTGATACTGGTCATGGCTTATAAGATGAAACTGTCAGTATATCTCACGACGGTTTTATTCATATGATACAAAGTCTTTTAATTATGGTAAAGCGCATGAAATCTCGATTGATATTTTACTATTTTGCAGCGTGAACATTCTAATCGAACTTGTTAGGATGTAGCAGCTCTGCTTGTTCATTCAGGAACACCTCGATGAGTGGGCAGCGGAGTACGGTAATGTTAAGGTCACGAATGACGGGATTAATATGGGTTTGTCGAGAGTCTTGATGGGGGTTAATTCGGGCGTGCGCTCTGCTGTCTCTGTGGCGTACTCAGCGTTCTAATTTACTTGGTAATTTGAATTTCTAACTTGTCTCCGTTACAAGAAAGACTATAATTATTCTTTGCTAATCGAATCAGAAAATCAGCGTTTTCAGGCAATGAAACCAGTCCGTGCAGGGTTTCCGTGTTCGTCCACTTCTTCCAGCACATACTGAGGCGTTTTACCGTTACGAGGGAAGCCTTACTACACCCAATTGCGATGAGGCAGTCATTTGGACCGTTCTTGCAGAACCGATCACAATAGCACCATTACAGGTCAGGTGGACTTGTAAAGTTTGGAAAAAAACCCTTAGCTAACACATATGCCAGGGTGGGCGGAGTTTCCACGAAACACTATAGTCAGCTTCCAAGAGGGCCCAGAGAGCGGGTAAAGAGTGGGTGGAGGTTGACGTGGAAAGACGTCACGAATGCTGTCGTGGGTGGGGGTGCACCGAGGTGTGCGGAGTTTGCCAGGAAGTATCATCAAGGTTGGCCCTTTGCTGGAAACCTGTCGTCAGAAGTATGAAAGCCTGTGGAGCATGAATATGACATTAGCTCGTTGCGAGTAAGCCTGTACGGGCGTCGGTGCAAATCTGATATGATAGCGCGAGCGCTCGGCGTTTTTACGCCGAAGTGGTGCAATTTTCGGGTTCGCCCGGGTAAAAGTACTCCAGAAGACAACTTTCAAGCCATTTATATAGTGTCAGTCATTGTTTGAGTTCGATTGAAATTTGGCTTAATTATCGAGGAGTTGGGCAGCAAATGTGCTATGAATAGTCCCTTAATTTATATTCCTTTATTTCCGAGATTCCTCTAAAAATGTTCTGTTCAGATGAAGCAACTGCGGCAAATTCACGCATCTGACGGTGAGCGTCATTCGCTCAACTTTCGACCTGCACAACCACTGAACGAAAGGCGACTTCTCTATAGGCCCACTTCATTTGACAAGAAATTGTTCTGTGGTGGTGGAGAAGAGCTTACCATTTTGACGAGTGTGCTGATAGGATTTTTGTGTTTTCTACTTTGATTTTAAAGTTGTTGAAAATATTCATACGAGCTCAGTGGAACAGTAGACCACCATCAGTTCAAATGGCTATTACGGGTGAGAGTTGATCGGTTGGTTGATGGTAAGTGTAACGATCTTTCCCGCGCCATTATACAGAAATTAGTGACTCGCCTCGCGCGGTATTTGGAAATGAGGGACTGTCTTAAGCCACCGTACCTGAGTTGCGTGTAGGGTTGAATGCACCTGCTAGGCGTTGCGGCGTTGCTTGCTCCATAGTTTGTGACTGGAGCCATTTCGTATCCAGAGAACAAGTGCCGTTATCGGTATCGTGTGCAAATTAATAACGGAGCAGTAATTAATAGTACATACACGACCACACTGTAAGTGACTCGACGCTGAAGTGCTTACAGGAAGCTAAACAACAAGTTAGAAAAGCCCTTTAAGCCGGTGCGATTGCCACTCGCCGGGTCCTCATGATGAATGTATTGATACCCGTGGCGAGCTGTTGTCAATGGCCGTTTCAACTTCAGGCGCAACTTAACTTACAACAACTTAAAAGACGGAGATAGCATTAGCTTTCTGTCGATTCAAGCAATTTGCGTCCATCACAACTTGGGTATGTTATCCTCAGCGCATGCCTCATTCTAAATATCGCCCAGTTTTTCGCGCGCCATCATTTTGCGCGCGTCAGAAACAAATGCTATACATACGACCTCTCGTCGCTGTCGCCCTTCTCTAGGCGGGCACTGGAGAGACTCGCTTTTACCGCGTGTCGAGTTATGTCTAGGAAGGTATTGTTGTGGAAGATTCCCTAGGCTTTAGCGAGAAGCATGAAGGGAAACCCTCTAGTGCATATTTTGCGCTTGTCGCTGTTGATCAACTGTTTACGAGTTGTCCTTTACTACCACATAGAGGAGATAATTTTCTGACCCTGAATTTAGCAGATCAATCCAGCATCCGATCCGATCTCTTTGGGCCAATTGGACAGCCTATCAGTGCCACACGCTTTCAAGCCTCGAATTGAGAAGCTAATGTATTAGACTTCTATCTCGATGATCTTATTCCCAGTCCTCAACATTCCATTCTTCAGTATCTCTACTTTGTGCCATATTTGAAAATAGAGCATAGGTAAACCTCGGGAAAACCGTAGAATAGGCCAATTCATACACGTCGTAATTCTGAATAGAAGCAATATGTGGGCGCATCCCAATCGAACTAGTCGAGGTCCATCGCTCTGCAAGTCTACCTTTTCATCACTATATCAGTTATTGGAACACTTTACTCGTTGTCATTCCTCTCTCCGAGCTTTTATGCATTTTTATTCAGCTTTTATTTACTTTATTCACAATTATCATTGAAATGAGACCAAGTGTGAACAATCATAAAACAATGTCTTCTCATAAAATGATTTTTCTTGATACTCAATAATAAACAATTTTGTGAATCTGACAAAAAGACAGACACAAAACAGAAGCAAACAGCTATTAAGACTTTCGTAAACTATGATACAGAAAAAATCGAGGAGAAAATTGAGGGGAGTTTTCGTAGTTAAGGCTAGCATGGGACACAATCACCTGGAACTTAGTGGAATACAATCAAACGGACAAACATTCACAGCACATCGAGAAAGATCAACAGAGGCGATGGCAATGCGGGTGAAAACACACGCTCGAAATGAGAGCGAGAAAAGGAGATTACTGTAGGTAAAAAATGAAACAATGAGGAAAAGCCGATGAGCAGCAGCAGCAGCAGCGATGTGTGACAGTGACAGCGTTTAGGCACTTGTCTCTCGATAATTAGGCATAATAGGTGAAGGCCTGAACGCGGGTTGAGGTGATGGACGATAGGCTTGTGAAGATGATGGCGGATATTTGGAGAGTAGCGGTTCTTCACGTGGTACTCGTAATTCATGACTGGAACGAGAGGCCAAAATCATCGTGTGTACATCCTGTAATGAGTGCAGCACATGCAGAACACAACGAGCAGATGCGGTGAGTAGAGGCTAACTAGTAGAGGTCAGTGAGGTACTACTAATTGCATTCATCAATTGCGATTTTATCACTAAGACTCGGGATGCCCGAAAATCTCTGAAGTCATCAGTTTTTCTTCCCCTCGCTTTCCAGGCTTTCAAATTCCTGTTCTTCTTTGTCAGCGGTAAGGAAGTCGCACTAGCTCTTCGTTCTTC